ACCTGTCCTCCATGGTGCTTTTCTGTCGTAGCTGGATGCTTGAGGCTCGGGACCCTGAACATGTCCTCCATGGTGCTTTTCTGTCGTAGCTGGATGCTTGAGGCTCGGGACCCTGAACCTGTCCTCCATGGTGCGTTTCTGTCGTAGCTGGATGCTTGAGGCACGGGACCCTGAACCTGTCCTCCATGGTGCGTTTCTGTCGTAGCTGGATGCTTGAGGCACGGTAACCTGAACTTGCCTTCACGCTCTGATGGATTCCTGGAACCCGGATCTGTCCGTTCTTTGGTTAACTGAACCTTAGAACCAGAATCATAGATGGGATGCGCCTGTGTCTGTTCTGTCTGTTTTTGTTTAAATTAACCTTTTTAACTTTCCTACTGGCTGTCTCACCTTCAATACTGGCTCCATCTGTCCCGTTTTATGACATTATGATCTATATTGAATTATCTGAAAGATGTTAATCCTCTTAAACCTTTCCCCCTCGTCATATTTTCTATTTAGAGAAGGATTCTTTTCATTTCTGTCTGGTTCTTTTCAAATATCTCATATTCCCTGTGTGATTCTTCAACTGGGTAAGAAGACTCATATTTCTCATTCATTTTGTTCCTCAGATCTATTTAGTCTTTAATAGCCATTTAACTTTAACGTAAGGCAAATAAGGACAGGAGTAAAACTACGTCTACATCTGTCTGAAAATGATAAGAAATCCACAGCTGAGCAAAGCTGACCACTTAAGAGGGAAGTCTCTTTTCTTGTTTTTAGTTGCAAGGCTCCTTTCTGTTTCTGCCACACTGACCTTTGCCATCTGGTTTTGGGGAGCGAGGCGCTCCGGCTGTGTTTTCTGTCTTATTAAGCAGAAACGGAGGCATCATGCGATGCATCCGGGGAGATGAATCTGGCTTACTTGATGTCGGACTGCAGAGGGAAACAGAGATACAGCAGCACTGAGTGAAAGCACATCTTTTCCATCATGAACAAACTGGTAGACCTAATGAGATGTGTTCTTCTTTGCAAACTGTGAAACAGCAGGCTGTTCAGTGTAACTAGCTTATTACAATAGTCCTAAAAATCAGTTAAATTGGACCAAACTAAAGAGGTCGACTTTGCCTCCAGAGCAGAACCTGTTCTCAGATGATTCACCTTTGTTTTCTGTAGTCGTTGAGCTTCTTACTGATCAGAGCCTGCCTGGAGAATCCAAGCTCCTAGAGAAAACAGAAAAAACAGCCTTGTGGATGTCAGATAAAAAAAAAAAAACCCATACAGATGAGGAAATCCCACAGGTAGCAGTTTCTCTGACCTCGCTGTCCGTCTTGTTGCTCTCCCTGATGACCTTTATCCAGTCCAGCATGTCCTCCCGGTCCTCCGCCTGCAGAAGGTACTCGCAGAAGTCCTGGGTGGTCAGCCGCAGGGCGTGTTTGCGTTTGGTCTCGCTGTATGCGATGTCCACCAGGCAGCCCCGGATGTTGATCGGCTGCTCGTCCTCGGCCGCGCCTCCGAACGAGGTCCCCTGGAGCACCGCCTCCCTCTTGTCTTTGTAGAGGAACAGCAAATGGGAGCGGAGGACCGAATAGACCCTTTTCCACGGCCGTATCCCGCTGCCGACTTTCTGTAATTCAAAGAGAATACAATATATTATGGGTTAATTCAGCAAAGCCCCTCCATTAAAAAAAAGATCCCACTCTAATGCCCACCTTTCCCTTCTCTGTAAGGATTTGTTTGAACTGCAGCCATCCTTCTCGCCGTATGTCACTGTAAGTGATGTTTCCCAGCTCGGAGGTGGAGTGACGCTTGGAGCGCACCTCCTCGGCCGTGCCGATGACGTCCAGAGACTGAAACATAACAACGAGTTCAAGATTTTTGGCTAAAAGAGGGAAAACTAATTATAATAAAAACACCATAACACTGTAACATTGTTGAGCATTTCTGATCTATTAAATTGTCCTGAATAGCAGTCGTTGATTATGCTGCACTTTATCTCTAATCTTCTTTGTCTCTCTAATCTTTCTGAATATAATCTTAAAAGATAAATTAAATACTACATATTTGTCGCTCTTTAAAGGCCCAGAAAAGTTTATCTAAAATCCACATGTTGAAGACTTTATAAGAATTCCTTTTCCTGCAGCATTTGGTTGACTAACAGCAGCTCCTGGGTTTGTCTACAGCTGAAAAAGGTGAAGTTTAACATGAAAGGTAAAGTAAAAGGTAATTTTCTTAATCAAAGAGTAAGAAGAAATCACAAATATCTAAAAATAACAAAATAACACATTTAATTTAGCAGAACTCACCCCGTCCCCAAAGAAACTCTTCACTCTTTTGGGCAGCCTTCTGTAAAGCCAATAAAAACAAACGACACATAATGTAAAAAAAAGGCAATCTTCATTTGTTTTATATGGTCTTTTTTCTTCCCACCTCCCTGTACTTACGAGGTCCGTTCCTCCCTGAATGTGTTAAGTCCTTCATCGCATGACTTGGAGCGCTCCGTGGTGATGCCTAGAAGATAGGAGGAATGGCAACTGCACTTAGTACTGCCTGCTTTGTGCAAGAGTGAATCAGTGGAAATATGGAGATGAACAAAGGAGAAATAAAAAGATAGAGTGAAAGAGAGACCGCACGTTGATGCAATGCCAATCAACTAAAAAAAAGGTGTTGGTTTAGGAGATGGGGTCAGTGAGGGAGGAGGTGGAGGGTTTAAACCGGGAGTGACGTGGAGGCGACTGAAGGTGGGGATGTGAACTCAAACAGGGGGTTAGATTTAGGTTTCCCTGGACTTTCTCTGCACCACTAGCATGCACGTGTTTCCTCTGTCATCACAAAACAGCATGCATCACTGAAACTCGGCTAAGGAACAGCACCATACACCTTTGGTTTGGTCTAGATCAAACACATCCAACTGTATGGATGCATGCAGAGCTGAAATATCCCCATGAAAACACAAAATCCACATGCAAATATTGTCTAGAACTGCTATAAACTTCATCTTGACAAGGACTTTTCACCTCTTACTAAGCCCTGAACATTATATTCTAAACAATTTCTATCATAAATCAGCTTGCTTGACTAAATAATACATAATTTTTACTATAAACTGATCAATAATAGACAAATGAACAGACAAACAATAATAAATAGTTAATACACTGCTAAAAATAGTTACTTACATCTTACTAAGAACAGATGCAATTAATTTCCTAACTGTTGCTATTTCTTCTTAAATAAAACAGTACATGGTAGGTAAAATGCTTGAAAAGAGAAGTTAAAGCAGTAAAACAAACAAAAAAAAGAAGTAAGAGACTAAAAATCGTATTTTGGAACAGAACATTTCAACGTCTCAAGCATGCTTTGAGAATCCATCTCGGAAATCAAAAGCCATAACTACAAATCCAATTTCCTGCTGCATGCTTTTGGGAAGACTAGAGCGATAAGGGGGCTGGCGAGGAGCGGGCCACTCACTGCAGTCGTGTGAGAAGAGCCTAGTGAGGGGGAAGGTGAAGGTGGGGGAGGCGGGGCTGGTGCCCACCGGGGGCGCTGAACTCATGCCGCTGGACACAACGGAGGAGGCCGGCACATGGCGGGCACGCAAATCAGCGCCGGGGCTGGTTGGTTCGTCTGTTGGAGTGAGGAGGGGAAGATGAAGGTTTGAAAGAGAGGTCAGAGATGGATAAACGGACAGAATTAGGTGTTAGAGAAGGTAGTCAGAGAGGAAGGGAGGGAAAATACAGGGTTAGAGAGGGGAAGGTAAGGAAAGGGAAGGATTCATAAGGATCACAACAAGCCCAGAAGTCAGACACTGAACAGGAAAATCGTCCCACAGGTTCAATTTCTTTCAGGTGAATCAGGAATTTGAACATGTGTGAAAGCAAAACCGTTTTAGATCTCCGTACATCAAAGCTATATATTCAGTAACCGAACCTTTTTAGAAACCCTAAGAGGGAGTTTTACAAATTAAAACCTGCCTCAGCCCCTCCAGGGCATTTATCATACCTTTAACCTCGATATAGAGAGAAGAAACTTCCACCCAGACATAGTAAAACACATGAACACTTAAGAGACTGAACAGTACCTGTACCGTCCGTTGCCATAGGAAGAGCTACTCAGGAGCTAGAAAAGGCAGGTAGGCGACAGGGACCTAATGGCTGCAGGTTTCAGTTCTTTATTAAAGTCTAGAGCATTGTGGGATGCTAGTCCATACAAGCAAAAAGGTAAAAGGTCAAAAAAGAAAGAGTTACTAAGGGTGAATAAATATAAATATGAACCTTTTTATCTTATGAAGGAAGATTGTTTGCTCAACAAAACCTAAATCAATGAAAAGGCTTCAAATGTTTAAAATTCTGAGTGCTCACCCAGAGGGATATGAAACCATGACACAAACACACACACACACATAGCTTCCTTACACTTCCTCACAGAGAGATTAGATAAGATCCTAGCCTGAGATCTGAGTGATTTAAGGTATGCAAACTGGGAACAGTAGAGGGCAGCACTATCTCAGAGAGACAGCTCCCATTGCCCGGCATGCTATACAAGCTTCTCACTTGGTTTCCTCTCCATCGCATTCCAGCTATTTTATTTCACAACTTGAAGAACTAAATTAATTATAATTACTTCCTTTGCTCATTGTTGCTTTGTCCATAAGGCATTCCTTCCTGGGTATAGTAAGAGTGTAGCAAGAGATGGAAAACATTTGGGAGATGAGGAATCTGAATGTTTATGGCACGATCCAGAAATAGTCAGTCTGTGGGTTTAACAAAGCCGGTCATTAGAAGGCCGACCACAGAAAGACAGGGACGACCCAGCAGAGGGAAGCAGAATACTGTCCCACAGTATGTTCCATCTCCAGGGTAAATCCCACAGCATGTGTGGGGTGGAAAAAACACGGATCAGGAGTGAAAGGAAAAGTGAGATGGGAAAATGCACATTTTAAAAAAACAAGATAACTACAAAAAATTTAAAATTTGTTTAGTAACCCTCTAAAACTGTTTATAAAAACCAGAACGCTGAAGATAAAGTTTAGTTTATGTATTTTGATATGATGTTTTGGCTCATATCTTGAAATTGGGCATTTCTTTGGCAAATTTTACCTTAAAAGAGAGACCCGAGTTTAATTTATTATCAAAACACTAAAGTAGTCACAAAAATAAAGGCTTGAATCAGGGGATTTTGGTTGGCAAATCAGATTTCCCTTACTAGGTTAGAGACTGCAGAATCAAAGTATCTTGAAAGACTACATAAATATGTTTTTAATAGAAATACATATTTTATTAATAGAAACTTGTAACTTTTTTCATTCTAAATGTGATTTATTATTTCAGTTATGTAAAATATCTGTTGCATAAAGCTTCTGAGGACCAACAGAAGAAGAAAAGTCCCACAGCATCCCAGATCCTCCACTATACTTAACAGTGACTATGAGTAGATTTTAGTTCCAGTTAAAATTCCAATAGAGATGAAACAACTGCGCATAAAAGTTGTGATTTTAGGTCAGAACTTTTTTTTCTTGTTCTGTCTATTTAACATGGTAAGCACATAGACAGCATCTAATGGTTGTTTTGGAGACTAGTGCACTAATGAGCTCACTAATTGCTGCTGTTTTCTTGTAATAAGATTTTAAGATTTGTCCCCTAAAAAAATCCTCCTGACTTAGCATGGAGCAACATAACAGGTTGCCCTTTTCCAACTAAGTAGTTAGTGGCTAACAAAAACAGAATTTGATGGATAATTCATTAAAAAAATAAGGGTTTGGGGGTGTAATAATAATTTACTAAACGTTTTATCCATCCATCCATTTTCCATCACGATTATCCTACGTAAAATTACTTTTAATAAGAGGATAAGAGGATTTTTTGTTCAAAGCTTTTCTACTTGAAAACAAGAATTAAATGCATTTATTTTAGTTTTTTTTTTTTTTCAAATAAAGTCAATGAACTTGAAAATGGCAAAAAGTCATGGTCTGTTGCGTCTACATCCCTTATACAGCCGTCCCCTCGTATACCAGAGCAGCACAATGGCTGCATTGAAGGCAGGATATAAGTGGAAGCGCCTCTGTACTTTTCCCCAACAAAGCGAGTGAGAAAAAACATACAGCAGAGATTCAAGATAAATGACTTCTGTGCAATTTAACCCTGTCACAAACCATGTATGACACATTTAATCAAAGCATATTTGCCCTCAAGCACAGTCTTTCATTGTGCTCACTATCTTTCATACAAGAAAGGGTACGTAAAGTGGTATCCCAAGCAATCCCAGATCATCATCAGATATCTGTGTATATCACAGCAAGATTAAGAAGCTAAGAAACAAAGAAAGAAAAGAAAATGTCTCGTCTTTGGGGAGAAACTTAGCCTAGTTTCAGTTTACGGCTACTGAGCGAGTCCCAGCTCGCAGCTTTTGCTGCTCGGTTTCATTTAAATCAGGTGAAGCAGCGAGGCAAGAATGTGGTCACATGCCTAATGGATTCCCTAAAGAAGATAGAGTCTCTGAAGCAGATTGCAGCTCGGCACAAATACCAACAATCACCATTACACGAAGTCAGTTGATTTGAACCTGTTCAGAATAAACAGCACCTGTTTACCTTATGCTCTGGCATAAGGAACAGAGAGGCAAGGCTCACCTCAGCTACCACAAATGAATTTGCCTGCGCTTTGACTTAATGGCTGCTGTTCGTGCAAAGTGATAGTAACCAACCTAAAGCCTGGAGGGTGGCTTTACTCTCAGTCTTTGCTGGGGGAAACACAAGCTTGGACATGAATGCAACATATGGCCTCAGCTACAGCTACAACTACACAAGATCAGGAATATCCAGGTTGATTCAGTTTGAAAAGCAGGGGGAATCTAATATATAACCGACAAATACGCACAGAAAACACACAGACAAAATGGCAGCTTCTAAAGTGTGAGAATGAAAATAAAAATGATAGACGTTGACTTACACGTCCAACAAGAACAAAAGGACAGCTATGAGCTTACCTATGAATGGGATGGAGGCCAAAGAGTCTTCCTCTAAAGAAAGGGGGGCAAGGTTTCCATTTGCTTTGCGAGGGGTTAACTCTTCTGCAGAACCAGGGTGAACATTCGTGTCTTTGGGTTCAGGAGAAAACAGGGAAGGTTCTAGCTCATCCATAGTAATGCCATAGTGGGGATGTCTGTTGGGGTTCCTTCGCCCAGTGGGGGGTTTCTGCCTCAGCACCACCTCCTGGGTTTGCACCGCCATCTCACCCTGTCCCTCCACTGCCCGTCGTTCCCTCTCATGGTTTGTAGGCCTGTACGCCCTGTCCTTGGATTCTGGAGAGACAGAGGTGAGGAGAGCAGAGGAGGAGGCAATGAGAGGTGCCGACGATCCCTCTGCGGGGCCGTTTTTAGGGACTGGATTCCAGTTCAAGTGGGGGCCTGAGTAAGTCGGGTCCCTGAAAGAATGAGCTTGCCCCAGGATGCGACCTGTTTTGCGGTTAAAAGACGGGCTGTAGCTACGGTAGCCCACCTGCTGCTCGTCCATGCTCTGCCCAGCAGGAAGCCGCTTGCTCTGGGCGGCGGGCTGCTGAGACTGGGTCTGGTTGTGGGTTTGGGGGTGGTGTTTAGAATGCGACAGGCGAGGCACTGCAGAGGTCTGTGCAACAACGGTGTGGCACCTTGGTCTTGGGTAGGCGTCTGTCCTGTGGGGTGGCTGCGAAGCCTGTTGGGGCCATGGGTGCCTCTCGGACCGAGGCGAGACCAGTCCTGCTGATGCTCGGTCCAACATCTCCATTGAGCGGCCATGGCGATCGTACTGAGCCAGCAGATTTTCAGAGCGTGTTCGAGTATAGTCAGTGCGGCCTCTTTCACGTCCCGCCTCCCAGTCTCCAGCGGACCAGTAGGGCTCACCCTGAGGTCCTTGTCCTGACTGCTGTAGTAAAAAAAGCGTGTCCTGTGAGGCGCTGTGTGGCCAGCCACCTGCCCTCTGCTGCTGCCTCCTGTGCTCGCTGAGCCGATCTTGAGAGTAGCTGCGGTGCCGGGTTTGCATCCTGCGTCCTGAGCGCTCAGGTAGCTGGTTGTAGTACCAGTCAGAGAGGGCCTGCTGGCAGCGTTCATTGCGGCTGTGGGGGACAGGAGCCATAGGCGGACTGGTCCAGGCCGAGCTGGACTTTCGTGGCTGTGCTTGGGCGGCCCCAGCACTCTGATGGTTGGAGTAGTGGACTTTCAGGGGGCTGAAAACAAGACCTCCAGATGACGAAGACGAAGAGTAGGAGCGCCTCCTTGTCTGACCCTGGGGCTGCTGACTGGTCATACCGTACTGGATCTCCTCTGTGCGATGCGCTGGACTGCTGTGACCGACTCCACCTGGCTCACCTGCCTGCCCCTCCTGCCAGCTGGCTGGGCTAGCCACACCAGATCTGTTATCTAAGGGTGATGAAGGGCTTGAAGACCCTGGCCAGCAACTCCAGTTATCCAGCTGGTTCTGGCCCATGGGGGAGCAAAGCGGGGCTCCAGGATGGGGGGCAGTCCTGGTGCGTGGGTAACAGAGGGGAGGCGGCGGTGGGAGGTTCTCAGCTCCCCCGACGAAGGGTTCGTTCCCAGTCAAGTAAGCATCTTGGGAGTATGCCTTGAGAGGAAAAAAGAGACAAACAAATCTGTTATCAAATGAAAAATGCTGTAAATCTAAATAAGTTTGACCAAAGATACGCATGCTTAAAGAGAGTGGATTACTTTCACCAGCCTGCAACACAAACATACGTCCATTAAAGAACTGCATCCAATCCCCATGCGAATCACGCAGAAGTTAAGCTACAGCTACCTGTTCAGACAGTGTCATCTTCATTACGCTTAAACAGTGACTGCTTAGTGATTCAAGTTGAAAAACAAAACATTTTTCTGTTCTTAACACACAAAATCAAGTTATATGTTCTTCGACCTTAACAATCAAATGTTCAGACCTGAAAGTGAAAGCCTCCTTATGTCACCTAAATTCAAAACAAAAACCCCAGAGGGTAAAAAACACACACCGAGACTCCTCAAAAGACGCTCCGGCTGCTAATGCAAGGTCTCCGTCATATTTCACAAAGTCCTGCTTTATAAACTCCTTTTCGTTTCTTTTCTTTTACAGTTTCCTGTCTGATGATCTGCTTGTTTTCTCCTCTCAGAAATCCGTCTAAGCTCCCCTCTCTCCACCCTCCTGTTCTCTGACTTACTCCACCCTGTGGGAGTGCGGAAGGAGGCACAGCTCCAGTGATGTCATGAAAGGAATGCAGGAGATACAGCAGCGAGGGGAGGAGTGTGAGGAGGAGTAGGTTTATAATGTAAGAGACAGGCTAAATATTCTTTAAGATAAAGATCTCAGTCTGGGATTTATTTATTTGGGAAGTGTATATGTTTCTGGGAGGAATTGCTTAAATGTAGATCGGTGTGTTGAAACGTTGCTCCAGGTTAGTGGGAGGGGCAACAGCAGATGCATGTCGGATCATGCAAACGAGAACGGAGCAACCCGCGGAGCGACAAAAATGTGTTGCTGCATTTCATGGGCGTGTGGAAATAAGCGTAGGAGCTGTTTTGTTCATAAGCTCGACAGTTGAGATGTGAGCATATTTTAATGGACAGTGTAATTGAAAAACAGCTAAGCCTCGTGAGTCACTCTCCACATTCCTCAGCTATTCGATGAATCATTTTTGAAGATAAGCACAACAGATCCCAAAATGTGCTGCAGTGGCCTATAGCAGGATGTATGGAAAAGCCTCTCTGTGTTGTTATGAATGTGTAATTTTTTTTTTTAATTAATTTTACTTTAACAGCTTCTGCTCACTTTGAAAAACAAAACAAAAACTCATCTGGCCATCAGAGTGTTAATGCATCCGCCCTGGTAATATCTGAATAATATATGGGGACTGATATAGCCATTAGTTCTGATTTAAACTTCCTGATATTTAAACAAGTGCAAAATGCCATATGCTCTACCAACGTTCCCTCAGCATCCGGTAGAGAAACAAGCCCCCAGCATCACACATCCTCCACCTTACCTAACAGTAAGCTTAACATAAGAGAAGTTCCTCATGTCATGTTTGTGATGTAGGACAGACCAGGGTTTTTTGCATCCCCAACAACCAGTTTCCATACATATAACACTTAATGATTGTAATTGGGACTTGATGACACAATAATTGTACTTTTTGCTGCAATTCTCTAAAGTATCAAGGTAGATATTTTTTTTTAAACTCCTCTCTCATTCTGCTCACTATAGATCCCTGTGGAGATTTATTTGTTGCAACCTAAATCACTTTAAATGTCTCTGTTGTTGCGCTGATAAAAAAAACATGAGCAGTTGTAGGTGAGTGGCTGCGTTTTGTGACCATTTCGTGACGTTAGAGGATATTAGAAGATTAGCACCATCTGCCTCACTTGAAGGACATGTTTTAATGTTCACAGTTTTGCAAAGTAGCTAAAAGAAATGTTCCTCTCTGTTATGTCTTATTTATGCCTCAGAGAAACAAGCAATTATTTATGAATAATATTTGAGTTGCTCTCTAAATAAAGTAATTGTTCTGGTTGATGATGGTTAAAAAAAAATAGTTTCTTAATACTAGTTGTCTTTCAAAGAAAAAATTGACTTAAAGTAACTTAGACTTTGCAAATGAATCAAACGGATGCTGCAAAATTATACTTACTAGCTGAAGCACATCTTCATCTTTTGGCATAATAGAGAGCTCCAACACACTCTCACTGTGAGACACATAAAGAGGGAAACAGATGGAGGAGAGAAACATGAGAGCACAACAGTTATAAAATAAAAAAAAGGAAGAATTCACAGCCATATGCATCAAGTTTGCTTCATTTTATGTTAAATGAGGATAATATATAGTAAGTTTAACTGCACCTTAGCTGCAGTGCATGGCTACATTCTGGATTTGTCCTACTGTTTGGACTTAAAGTGTAAAACATGCAATATTTTGCTTTTTTTAATCATTTGATTGATTGATTAAGTCCAACAGCACTTGTTGATCTAAAGCTCACTTTATTGCACTGCATTACACAAACTAATAATATGCAGGTATAAAACTGTAATATGCTTCAGATTCATTCAGTTTCTTCAGACACGATACAATGATTTCTTGGGTTAAATCGTGCATTAGCTTATTAGAACCCATCGTTATAAAAGCACCATGCTTACCTGCATCAAAATGGCACAAAGGAAACAAAGTGAGGAATCTCTCTGATTTTAGATGGTCTTACCTGTTCTGAATGAGGGCAATAACTTGCGAGTATGTCTTTCCAAGAACGCTCTCCCCGTTCACCTTCACCAACCGATCCCCTGCGGAGAAAAAGACACGCCGCCGCATCATAACCAACAGGTTTAACAAAGAGGTCCCAGCTGAGATCTCTAAAACTTCAGCGCAAGTGGGAAATACAGGAAAAACAGGCAACGCTGTGCAGGAACTAATTTCCCTGTGAGGCCAAAGCACAGATCAAAACAGGAAATGTGAGGGTCAAAAAAAAGTTGTATTTTCTGTGTTTAACTTCAACAAAACAGCATCATGAAGGCATAACATTAAGCTTGCGATCTTTATTTAGCCTCTGAGGACAGAGGTACAAATACACACCTGACCTCAATATATGCCTGTTTCTTATTGTCATAGAAAAACTAATCTCCACTCTATTAAGCAGAAAATGGAAATCAGGTCACCCTGGAAAAACCTGTGTGTTAAACTGTGGAAGCAGCTGAAATTTTGTGCAAAATGAAACACATATAGGGTTTTTATTGTGTTTGTTTGCATACGTTTGAGTAAGCAGGACATGACTTTTTGGATTTGGTTGATTCTGTCTGTTTTCTTTAGTTTATTCACTTGAGCTGCACAGATGGGGCCACAAGAAAGCATTAACAGCTTTGCCACTTTGACATGAGTTAAATAAATCTGTGGGGGGGTTTATGTTGTGAAAAGCATCCCTCCTTAAACCCTTCACATTGCTGAAGCAACATCACATAAAACAAAACACATAAACTGTACACATGTCAACAAATGTCCAGCTCCAACCAGGATGCTCATTCACTGCCGGCTCATCTTACCTGTGCATAAACCCGCCTTGTGGGCCGGACCTTTTTCTCTCACATTCTTAACAAATATGGTGTCCATCGGCTCCAGCCGTTCTTTCTGATACCCTGCATAAACAAGGAGATGAAAGTTCAGGGGCTGTGCTTCTTAAAAATAACATAAAACACATACATACATTTCCAGTAGATTTTTCTGGTTTTAAAGAATTAGATTTGCAGAAAAAAAATTAAAGTTCACAGAAACAAGTGGGCAGGTCAAAGCTGAAATCCCTCATGAAAGTTCCTGTGTTCTTATGAAGTATCTGTTCTGTCTATCTATGCAAATATAACACAGGTTAAATCCAACACAGGTCAGCTTATCTTATGCACAACATTATAGACAAACAGATTGGTTTTCATTTCAGAGGATGTCATTTGAGAGTTATTCATAATGGGCTAGAATGGGGCACATATGAAAATAAATATATACGTTTTTCGTAATGCCTAAGTGTTTCCTATCTAGCTTCACCATGAAATGGTAATTTTTTTAAATAAATAAATGATTTTCAGAACTTAACTATGTATAAACAAAAGTATCAATAAAATAAAATGAGCTGATAGATATGTGGACAACTAAAAATAATATTTACTCATACATTTTGAAATAAATAGATGCAGTCATGATTTAACATTGAAAATAACAATCATAATAATCATTAATCATAATTTAATGAATTAAAAAAAATGTGGAATGATTAAAGGGGAAATAAAAAAAACACCTGTAGTTTGGTGTCTATTGTCATTAGTTGAAATTGCAGTAATTTAAACAATCCTGCAGGTGGCGCAGGGAAACTGCAGACCGAGGTCTGGAAGGAGGGTGAATGAGTCCCACCTTGTTACCTCATCTCTATCTGATTGTATTGGGTTCAAATAATGTCAGGCAAACAACTTACCCTTCTCATTTCCGTTCTCCTCATCCTGCAGACAACGGAAAGAGACAGAAAGTAAATGTTGAGAAAGAAAACTGGCAGGAACACATATTAATGTTGCAGGACATTAGTAAGATCCTGTCTAGTAGTGCACTGCTGGCATCATGAGTAGGAATTTTACCAAGTGCTGATTCAGGGTTTACGTCATGCAGGAAAAGCTGTCAGCCCCTATGCAGCTGAAACATTTCCTAACTCCTTCCACATTTTGTCTTACCAGGCTGATACCTAAACTGAGATGAGCATCATATCTGAAGCAGTGGCATTAATTAACACACGTTTCCTGACGACTGAAAGAAAACCTCCTGAGAAAAACCTGTTTGTTTTTACAAGCTGTTAAAATCGGATCATAGCTCAGGCACAGAAACCGACTTTCAGGTCTAACACTCTGCAGGTAAACATGACATCATGCAATGCAGCAAACACACACACACACAGGAGAGATCTGATAGCTACTGCTAGTCAGATCACCAACACACACTTACACACACACACACAGCCTTTACTGAGCTGAGTGAGCAGTTTAGGGTTCGAAACACGGTGGGCTGACTGCTGCCTGGCTTTAGGCTGCGCTGAGTGGGCTCATTCCAGGCTCGGGAGACAATGCAGGGGGGTTTAGAGACAGAGAAAGGATGGCCTGCAAGCCCAGAATAGAACTTGGAGCCGGGGACGTGCACCGATGGACCAGTCCCAGTTTGACCTCATCCGAAACCAAGATGGAGACAGAGAGAGGTGGTTTGGAGTGCATACAGTACAATTAAAGAGCTGCTTGTGGGCTGAAATCTGCAGAAACCTAATACTTGTAATCTGAGAGTAAACATTGAGGAACTGTTACTATTTAATAAGAGTTTTATTGCAGGTTTTACAAAAAGGCTACTCATTAAAAGACAAAGGGGAGGTCTTTCCATTTTAGTTTTTTTAACACCTCTTCTCTGCAAGTTCTTGAAAAGCAGATATGTTGATATAGCCCCAATCTTAATGCTCTAAATGGGTCAGAAAACGGGCAACAGGTCCGGTTAATGTCTAAGTACACCATGAGCAGGAGTTAGCTGGAACGGTTAAGAATTACATGATACAAATACTTCCTTTAAGAGTTCTCTGGGAATGTCCCTCTAGACAGTAACTTGGATGAAGTGAGAGATCTTAATTTTAGTTCTGGACAAAAACCTTTCAAACTTTTCTTTAAAAAACAGAAGATAATGGACCGATGGATGAGTAGTTTTCCCATCAAAACTTTTTCAGGTAATAAGTAACTTATTGCATGCTTGGAGGTGTATTACTCTGGCATGGGATGTTGGGTTTAAAATAATATATCCTAGATTTAGGGTTAGGGGTTCATTCATTTTAAAGTCAATGCCAAATAAAATCAATAGGTGGGCAGTTTGTTCCTAAGGTGATTGAGTGCCAAGGCAATAATTCTGGCTATGTTGAAATGTGAAGAACAGAACACTTAGTTTAATGTATTTTAAGCCCTGAATTGACCAATATCACATAAAAACAATCAGCTTCTATCTCAATTGGTTGGATAATTTCAGAAAATGAAAGTGAATGTAAAGTGTATTGTGCCATGCAGTGGATTAGGAGGATTCTGCGATTATAGACTCATTTTTATTGGTTAAAGGGAGAGTTAAGATATCAGAATAACTATATTTAGATAGATTCAATCACATAAATAGGAAGTAGTGTTTTTATCTAAACTCTGTAATGATCCTCTGAATGTTTATCATTGATATTTTTATGTGTCTTGCTCTCTGACTAAACTGCATAAAATTAACTTGTATAGAGTTGAGAAGGATCAGTGAGACATTAAAGCCAAAACCGAGGGAAGTGACATTTCTCCTAAGCCTAATTGCACTTTATGTGGGTTATTTGGGAAACGGCCCAAAAGATCTTTCCAGATAAGAATAAGGGATGTCTGTGAGCCTGATTGTCCAAAAACAGCGTGTGACCTTTGTGTACTCATCGCTAGTGGACAGAGGAACAGAACTGGGGCCAAAGGCCAGCAGTGGGCCCATTGTCTTGGGCCGACCTGGCACGGCCTGACAATCAGCAAGTGGTACCAGGCTGCAACAACAGAACTCACTCAGACTGGGCTCCTGTTTTCTGCAGCTGGTGGAAAAATAATGGAAGTCTTGTTTCAGCTGGCTCACCCCACCCCGGTCAACACATCCCTCAATTTCACATCTGGAGATGTTTGTGCCCTCACCTCAAAGAGCCAAATGACCACTTTGCTCACACACACAAAAAAGAAAAAAAAATCACAGACACAAACAGGACTGCCATCTGGAGAAACATCTTATACTTTAAAAAAGGTGGAACTCTAAGCCACTTGATTTTTTATATATTTTTTTTTCCTTTTAAAATTGGTTGAGCTTCTTTCTCTATTTTTTTTCCGTTTCCATCTTAATTTTATTTGACTCAGCTTTCTTAAGCCTTAGCTCTGTCTTCATCTCCAAACTCAAACTGGATCGGATCTGATTTATTACAATGATAAAATGAGATTATGTGAGGATCAGGAAAATCCACTGGTCTCACCGTGAGGTTGGTGTGCATAGCAGACTCTGGGGGGTAAACGATAAAATGCCGCAACGTGAAACCAAAACCCTGGGAGTTCTTATGGAGGACCAGCGTCCGGGGACCCTTCCAGCCCATGCCAACCCCCTCCCTTCCCGGCCGGGTCGCCATCGGCGGCCGAGGGTTGTCACCTGTTGAGGAGTGACCATCCCTCCGCCCCTTAGCCTGTAAACACACAAACAGCAAAACAAATTAGTTAAAACAAACAGCAGGAACTATACGACAAAGGAAAGAGCATGGATGTAATAATCAAACAGGGAGGTGCACTAGAAACCCTCTGCTAAATATTTGTTTCCATTATTAGCACCAGGAAAGCATTTCCATTTTCCACAGGCTACATATAGTCTGGTTTCTCTAGGAAGCACAAGGTGACTCTGCACTCTGTGACATTAACCCTCAGCTGCTGGATTTTACATTAGCAGCTTCCTCATGATATCACGAAAGCAATTCAGGTTCCGGTCAATCCTGCATGCCAACCAACCTGAGAACAATAGTCCGTAAACATACTTTAACAGGGGGTCTGCTATCAGGAAGCTCTCCAGGCTGGAAAGAACCAAGTCAGGAATCTGGGATTCCATTTAAGACTGCTGTGACCGAGGATGGAGGGCAAAGGGTCAGAGCGTTTTCACGCTCAGAGTGGCCAGTAAAGGAAGATTTCCACCCACTTCCCAAATATCTCATACCTCCTGCTGAGCAAACACACTCAGTGAGCTCAGCTGACAGCCACATGTGAGAACTCTCACCCTCGTGTTGCCCTGACGACCCACATCTGTCAGTCAAACAAAATCATCTGACCAAACAGAGAAGGAATTTTAAGAAACGGGAGAAAGAATGTGCATGTAGGAGGTCAAAGGTTAAACCTGCAGCATGGAAAACTTTTTCTGACTTTAATTATTTAAGAAAGCCTAAAACGTCAATATTGCTTAAAGGTATAGTGCGAGGATTTTCACGCATTTTTGAAAAGACTCTACAATTTAAAAGAAATGCACCCGCTCCCAACAGGGAACGCCTATTTTAAACGAGTGATCATGAGCGAGACCATGCACGAGCCCATTTTTTCCTTTCACGCTGTTTAAAAGTGGCTGTCGGCATTGCTCATACAAGCTTACTTTAAAAAAGAAGATTTGCAATTTTTCCACAATGTCAGACTCACCACCGGTAAGTGGCAATGGGGTCGAGCATGTAGGACAACCTTATATAAACATATCACCAGAATGAGTGACAATTAGTAGGACCAATCATTTTGACGATCCACCTGGAAAAAGAACATCCTCCACTACCTTTAACTGTAAAGCATCTTTTACGAATGATGAAAATAGTTTTAGAAGCTGTGGGAAGCAGTTATGTTGTGGCAATAAATGGTAAGGGAAGACAAGCATCACATCACAGCAACAAGGCTCTGGATTCGATCTTTGTGGTGAAATTGAGATGATTGCAAGATTGCAACCCTTAAAGCAAAAGATATGTCTAAATGACCACAACGGAAAGCCTGATGACTGCATATATACCCTTTCAGAACTAATGAGGTCCTTCATGGAGCCAATAGATCTTACATCCTGTTCAGGTCGGCAGTCCATCATAGAACCATGACAGAGAGAAATACCCACACATGCACACCATCACGCTAAAAGCCCATTCAGCTGCAACTGGAGAGAACGTGCCATGTAAAAGCAGAACATGCAAGCTTCATACTCTCCTGTTATTTAAACCATTCTGATTGTAGCACTGAAGTTAAAAAGATCTGTCTGTAGATAATTAAAATTTCTACTTCACACTGTGTCATTTTGGTTGGTAATTGCATTATTTTACTAACTAAACATCATGACAGTTTGGTTTGTAAAGCCGTCCAAATACAAAAAGGCTCTGATTTTGGCAGTAATGAAACACTCCTATAATCCTCTATAGCACCTGCTATACTTACTGTACAGTGTTACACTTATAAAGACATTCAGGCAGTTAAATGTAGATTAACTCTCTGAAAACAGCTTATTTTCTTTCATCCAAGTAAATTAAAGATAGTAATGACTCACAACAAACAAAACAAACAGTTACAAACATATAGCCCTAAAATCTTCTGCTAGAAACTCTAAAAGTCATAAGATCAAAAGGACAACAGAGATATTTTTCTCCTTTTAATTCCAACTAGCTACAAATCTGCAGTGAGTAAACAGCATCCCGGTTGACAAAGGTCTATTATTACCCATGTGTTTTTATGTGGAAAAGTATTTTATTTGCTTCATGGAGCAGAATTAAGACATATTGAGTAGTGTTGTGAAGGCTCTGCAGTCTGCAGCACCACAGCTGCATGTGGCTCCTTCTCTCGTGTAAAGTGACACCTGGTAGTTTGCTCATGACTTTTGGACAATTGTTCTGTCGCAAACTGTGGTGGAGCTTGAACGTTAGAAAACGTTAAGGATTTTCTGCTAGAGAGCAGAATTCAGGTTCTGGCAGGTTGCATCAGATATGACAAGTCTTCCAGATTATCACACCATCACTATGTTTGATTGTTGGCAAGATTCTCTTTTGCTAAATGCTTTAAATTGGAACACACATTCCACAAAGTTCCCCTTTTGTCTTCTCAGTCC